ATGGTTATATAATAGCAGCTGCATTCTGACGTGATAAGCTGTATGTTTTATATTCTATTAACGTATGATCTGATTAGTCGACTAATCAAAAAAATAATTGGTGATTAATCGATTATTAAAATAATAGTTTGTGGCAGCCCTACCTGAGAGACACCGTAGCAACTCCTTTGCGTTTGGAAGCGCGGGGGTGGAGGTGGGGGGATGATTCAACCATTCAACCACTAGATGTCGCTGAAAACAACAAATCCTACACACAGTGCCTTTTAATTGGACTCTTTTGGAAAAAATGGCAATATTTTGTCTTGCTTACAGTATTGAAATATATCAGTATACACTGTATCATATTGTGTGTCTCTTATCACCAATTTTTTTTGCAAATACACAGCCCTACTGGTGTGATATTGGTCATTTTTAAGAATATTGGTATTGGTCTGATATGTAAAACTGGGCCGATATTAATGTCCGATATTGGTTTCCCACTTTTTATCTTTGTGTTTCTGTTTTGGGGGAAAGATGTTTGGTTGAGAGGCGTCTGTTTGATCATGATAGTGTTAGTGACACCACACAGCCAGGAATAACTGAAGTAGAGCCATGTCAGAGGTCTGGTTGTTTATTTATTTATGGTATCAAAAAAAGACCCAAGTGTGTTTGTGCGTATATGTATAATATAATTTGTGTGTTTGTGTAATATTGGTAAATATCTGTTATCGGCCATAACAGCAATAATTATATCGGTTATTGTTATCGGCTGAAATTTTCACATCATCCCTATTAGGAACCAAAAGTAAACCTGCAGTCTGTGAGCAAAGTGCTCTGTTAGGAAAATATGGAAGAATAAGATCTTCATTATAGATGGAGCTTGGTTGTTAAGAGCTTTGTATGTGTTAAAGTAAGATTTTAAATTCTATTCTGATTTTGACAGGGAGCCGGTGGAGAGGAGCTAAAACTGGAGAAATATGTGAGATGATCCTCGCAGTTAAAAGTTAGCATAAATATTCTGGGCAAGTGTCTTTGGGGTGTGCTGGTTTTGTGCTGAAAAGAAACACCCCTGATATGGAAAGGCACCTTCGTCACGGGAAACACATTAAGTGAATTTGTCAGGTATGGCTGATGGCCAACGGTTAAAAGAAAAGTCAGGGGAAAGTCAGCCCAGTTGATTGGCTGACCACTCTGCCTGCAGATAGGTTGTTGTAGACAACACAGATGTGTAATGAGTGTTTTGTAGACCACACTGTGTAACCCTTTTAAGTGTGGAGGGCAGCATCATTTACCATCCACCACTAAACAAACACAAGCGTGGCTCAGTATTAGTTTGGTGCTGGCAAGTTTCTTCAGCCTCTTTGCCACTTTGGCAGCCGCCTCGTGGCTTTCCTCAGGGAGCTGTGTTGTTTCAGAAAATGAGTTTGGCTGTTGTGACCGTAGAAGCTGGAGCACAAACCAAAGATGACGCTGAAGGGTCAAGGGTTTTAATTTGTGATTTATCATGTTTTTGCTGTTGTTTTTACTGGGTCGTGTATGTTGTCTGCAAGTGTGATTAATAGTCACGTTTTTTCGTTTTGGTTTACAGATTCTGGAGAAGCAAAATGTGTGTGTGTGTGTGTGTGTGTGTGTGTGTGTGTGTGTGTGTGTAATTGTTGGAACTGGTTTCACTCGTAATACAGTTTTCTGATAAATCTGGCAGACAACTCTGTAGCTGATTCCCAAATGTTTTCTGCAGTTTAAGGTTAGGATTAGGCTTGGGTGGTATGACAGTATTTTGGTATACCTCAGTATTGAAATATGGTGACGGTAATTAAAAGTTATTAGGGTATATTAACCCTCTGGAGCCTAGTTACACAACCTATTTAAATGGCTCTAGCTGGAAAGATGCGCCTGTTTTAATTTGTGTCAAAAGTGGAGACAGTTTTCATATTGTTCAATTCAAATTGTTGAGAGGCCAAATAAAATCAGAGTTATCATGAATATTATACAGCGGGTAAAATAAGTATTGAACACGTCAACATTTTTCTCAGTAAACATATTATTAGAGGTGCTAATGACATGTCTTTTTACACCTCCCTTTCTTCATGTGTTCAATACTTTTTCCCTGTGCCGTTCCACATTATTACAAATAACTTAATTTCTGGACATTTATGGTTTGATTTCTTTGTATGTATGGATCACTTGGGTTGTTACCAACATCTGGTGAAAATTTCATGTCATTAGCACCTCTAGTAATATATTTACTGAGAAAAATGGTGACGTGTTCAATACTTATTTTACCCGCTGTACGTCACCCAAAGAGAGCCAAAGTTACTTGTCAAGTACCAAAAAATGTACAGGAAGACAGGGGAAAAAAAGCAAAAGTTGAATGACGTTCAGCAACAATAGTGAGAGTGTACACAACACAAACCATACACCCCCATGCCCCGCCCTTTTCCACCCTGCCCCACCCAATAATTCAGAATACTGCGGTATTATCTAAAGATAATGTGTCAGTATGAAAAGGGTCAGTACCGACCAACCCTATTTAGGATGATGACCCACTTTTATTATTAATGTTCCAGATTTGGGTATAAATGCAAACTTTGATCCAAGGTTGCACACAATTTATTGAAAATTTTATTTAATCACAAAGCGAGTCAAATTTTTAAAGTATACGCACAGATAACGGCCCAGAGGGTCCCTCTCTTTTTTAGCAGTAGTCGTTTGAGGATGTGGCGCCTGTGGTGCCCAAAATAAGAGTTTTGATTTTAAATTCATCTGACCACAAAACAGTTTTCCTCTTTGCCTCAGTCTGTTTAACATGAGAGTATACAGCAATAGGACTGCACTAGGGCTGCCACGATTAATCGATTAATCGACGACTAATCGATTATTAAAATAATCGTTTGTGGCAGCCCTAGACTGCACCATATTGAAAAAATAACTGACATTTTGACTTTTTTCCGTTATATATATTTTGATATGAAAAAATACAGGAATTTTTAACAGATGATTTAAGCTGCCATTATGTTGTCGAAGAATCTGCACTGATCTTGCCTCATTTTTGTGCATGTTTCAAGTGTGTTTAATAATCAATTAATTAATTAATCGGCCTAATTAGTTGCAACATACTCCTCTTTTAGATTAGCATGTTATTTCAATAATTCAAAATTTCCCACAGCATCCCAAATTTTTGGACACAGATGGTCAAAAATAGATGTTATGTAGTGTTTAATTAGGTGTTTTACCTCGGACTTTGGCTAATTTAAGACCCTGGTGCATGCAGGTATCTCTGCAGACGAGTAGGCATTTCCAAAGGAAGGCGTTTTTCAAAGGAACACACCTGATTGGACAAGCACAAAAGGGGGCATTACTCAAGGATGCCACCTGATTGGATGATTGTTGCTTAGGCATTTCATTAGCTTACTTTTAAACGTCTTGATTTATTATTTCCGCTTCTCTTAACAAAGAGCTCCAGGTTACATTTCAAAATTAGAGCAACATCAGTCAGTAGTGTTTTGTTTTTAATGAAACATTGCATTTTCATTTAAAAAAACAAAAGCAGTTTTGGCTGCTGAAATTAATGTGAAAGTAGTTAAAGTCAAAAGTGAAAGACAAACGAAAGAGAAGAGCCAAGCTTTTCAAAAATCAGAGCAAATACAACTAGCCAATTAGTGTTTATGCTTGAGAAACGCCCACTTTGAGTCTGCAGAGAACCCCTTCTCCCCAGCTGGTTTAAGTCCAGGCAGGTTTCATGACATTCTCTGAACGGACTGCGACGCTTGATGAACACGAATCACCTCTTAAAATGACTCGTCAGCTCTGATCGGTGGAAACCTGTTTCCACTCTCTGGGGCAGCACAGTTCAGTTGACTTTCGTTTCTGTCACTTCAGGAAACTGACTCGTTTCAGGGCTTCACTCACTTTAACCAGCAATGACTGTGTTGGCTATTCATGGTTGTGTGTATTTTCAGTATGTTTCTCCTTACCCTATTTTTCTGTATTCCATTCAGACATCAAAGAAGTGTGTGTGTGTGTGTGTGTGTGTGTGTGTGTGTGTGTGTGTGTGTGTGTGTGTGTGTGTGTGTGTTGTTGTTGTTGTTGTTGTTGTTGACATCCTTATGCTGTTTGGGGCTGAATAAATAACCCAGAACAGACAGCTTCTTGTTGACATTCCACAAGCTGCAATGTGATGATGAGAAAAATCCAGATCATCCCTACAGTCGTCATCATTTGTTTGAGTTTCTGTCCATGACTCAGTGTTCCATCCATCCATCATCTTCCACTTATCTGGGGTCGGGTCGCGGGGGCAGCAGCCTAAGCAGAATCCCAGACTTGCCTCTCTCCAGCCACTGGGGCCAGCTCTTCTGGGGGCATCCCAAGGTGTTCCCAGGCCAGCTGAGAAACATAGTCCGTTCAGCGTGTCCTGGGTCTTCCTCTGTCCATGACTCAGTGTAACACTCTCATAAAAATAGTACTGATTTACCATTTTATAATGCCACCAATACATGTTGACTGAAACACTTAATGCAGCGTCCTGATGCATCTCAGTAATCCAGGTAGAAAAAAATCAGAAAAGAAAAAATAAGTAGGTCCTCTGGATGAGTTCTTCTTTAGTGAGAGACAAAACGTTTCACTAAAGAAACCCATCCAGAGGACCTACTTATTTTTTTCTTTTTGGCTACGTTCACACTGCAGGCAAATCCGACCCAAATCAGATTTTTTGCCCATCTGACTCGTATTCGATTTTTTTTTATGACAGTCTGAACGAGACAAATCCGATTGTTTCAAATCCGACCCAGGCCGTTTCAGTATGTGGTTTTAAATCAGATACATATCTGATGTTTTCAAAGTGACTGCAGTGTGAACGCTCATGTCACATTCATCTGACTTTTTCATCAGGAGGAGGAGGTGAAGGATCGATAAGACACTAACCTCAAGTCTCGCTGTTTAAATCTGTAGCTCCGTGTGTTTACAGCTCCAAAACACAAGTCCAGTTGCTTCATCTTTTTACTTTTCATTTTCCACGTAGATAGTATGATAATAATGATGTCCAGCCTGGGTCGCGGAGAGTATCGATCCTAAAGTTCGATACTTGGTCGATACTTTTTTCCAGCTCGTAGTTTCGTTAAAAAAAAAAGCTTCACTGGAGCATCCCGGTCAGAGGCAGCTTCAGATTTAAACACTGACTAAACAAGATGTCAGATAATTATTTAATCGGCTCTGATTAAACAACAACTTCTGATTCCATGCGCAAAATGTAGCATCCATGCTAGCTCTGTAAACAAACAAGCCGGCTGATGAGACGTCACGTCTTTTACTGCGCATGCGTGTCACATCAGTGCTGTGTAGCGTTCACACAGGGGTCTGATGCAGGTCACATTTAAAATGTAATGTGAACGTTCACACAAAAAGATCAGATTTTTTCAAAAAAATCGGAACTGAGCATTAAGACCTGCAGTGTGAACGTAGCCAGTGACTCAATGCAATGTTTGAGTGTGAGAAAGTTACGACGTAGTTAAAAACGTAACTATTTTAAATAGTGGTCCTCTGATGCTTTTAAACCATGTCTGTTCATAGCCATTTGACATGTAATAAAATGATAAAACTTTCAATACACATGCAGGTTTGAACAAAGTGTATATAACAATATTTATTAACAATACCAGTATCATAGTATTTGTATATCACATATTTTTTACTGATTGAGTGGAAAATTACCACAGTAATATGGCAGGAATTGCCTGCTACACTCCTACTAACCTCCTGCTGTATAGACTATGCTAATATTTCCACTTTTCACCACAAGCAGGCATTTTTGTAGAATTCTGGAAGAAGGCGTTGACACTTTAACACCACTCCCTGTTTACGGAAATTTACGGAATCTACGGAGGGGATTTTTTTTGACAATGCATAACAACAGCTACTGAAGCTATAACATCACTACACACCTCCTCTGAGAACTAAAATCTGCTGTGGTAGTTGCTGAGAGTCATCCCCCACACATACTGAGAGCTGACAGATTGTGGAGGATTGTTTTACAGGCAAAGATGCAAAAAATAAAAAATAAACCATAAACCTATTTGTGCATAAAGATGACACTTTTATGTATTTCAGATTGCTGTTATCCACGATTATAAAGTTTTAACAAGATTAAATACAGAGAAACTGTAAAGTACGACGATGTGTGGCAGGAACACAGCTGCAGCAAACGGATGTCTTTCTGTTTCGACAGAGCAGAGAGAAAAAGGAACAGGGAGATGAAATAAAGGAAAAATGGAGAGTTTTTTTTCTTTTACTACTGTGCACACGTTTAGGTATCTACCACTTTTTGGTAACTTGTCACGACTAATGTGAGAATTCTCTTTGGTAAGACAATAATTTTRCTTCCCCTTCCCCCCTCCACCTGCTAGGGCGCCAATGCCTCTGCCTTGGAAAAGGAGATTGGACCGGAACAGTTTCCTGTAAATGAACACTACTTTGGATTGGTCAATGTAAGTGACACTGATTACACCCCACACTTGACTCAAGCTACCTTTTATGCTGGAGGTAAAAGTGACGACCCCCCACCCCAACCAAAAAATTTATATATATATATGTATGGGAGACACATCAGACACTTTCACAATTATGTTTAGCTCCTTCTTTTTCTGTCTTTTCTAGTTTGGGAACACCTGCTACTGTAACTCAGTGCTGCAGGCTCTGTATTTCTGTCGACCATTCAGGGAGAAGGTGTTGGCATACAAGGTAAGTGTGGAAGAGACGGTCACATATTTGTACAGTAAACTGGCTGTTCTTTTGTTTTGACTACAAAAAGACCTTTTTTAAATAGTTTTTCACAGTTGCGGATGGTTAAAGCAAGGTACAAAATGAAGCAGGTAGTTCAGCCAGTCTACAAACAAAACTGCTTGTGGGCTGTTAGCAAAATATCTCATTGAATAAAACTTTCAGAAATTAGTTACTAGTTATTAGATGTACATCTTGAATAGGGCTGCCATAAGTTGACTAGTCACGAATCACGATTATTGTGGACTAATTCAAAAGTTGATGTGTCATTTTTTTCCTAACTTTGCTTTCTCTCCAAACTGCTGCGGCACTTTCCACTGCCACGTCTGCCTTTCTGTCCTTGACACACATGTGCAGTAGTGATAATTAGGGCTGCCACAAACGATTGTTTTTGTAGTCGACTAATTGGTGATTAGTCAACTATAAAAAAAACAAAGTAAAAAAAWGACACATCTGCTCATTGATGATTTTAATAGTTGACATAATCGTGACTAGTCGACTAATCGTGGCAGCCCTAATCTTGAACTGATTAACTTTTGGAGTCAACCTAATTCAGGCTGACGTTTTAGCTAATTGAACTTCTAAACACAAAAATATACAAAACTCTTTTGTCTTTATGGAATTTGTTGTGGAAGTACTTTTTCTTATCTGTAACACATAATTTAAACTAGAGGCGTCTAAACCTTTTGCTACATGGGACAAAATTGTGAAGTTGAAAGTACTCACAGGTGATTTAAATTTGCTCCCTTTTAAAGTGAAAGTTTTATTAACTTGCGTTTCGAGGAGAAAAAAAACTTTTATTTTGGTAAACCTAAAAAATTGAAAGCATTTTGTAAACAAAATTAGCAAAATGTAATCATCTACATCAGCCTCCTAAACAAGCAAGCCAAAATCATACCCTCGCAGGCCGCACAAATTCACTTGTAGGGCCGTAAATGGCCCATGAGCCTCACTTTGGACACACTGCTTTAAACATTATCATAATGTGGAAGTTCTTGTTTTAAACCTTTAACAGGCAGGGCAGAAAGTAATAATAAACTGGTGAGCAAATGACAGCCTTTTRAAAAAATAAATAAATAAAAACCTTTAACCAAGCAGTGAAACAAATAGTAAATAAACACCCTGAGAATGACAAAGGCAAGAATGAAAGTGTTTCTAGTGACTGAAAATCCCCTCAACCAGCACACAAGCTACATTATCAGCACCAAGCAAGATTTTTTTTTAATAAAGTAAATTTTGTATTGCTTAAAATGTTAAAATTAGTTGGAAACTCCACATCAAATGACATCAAAAGTCTGAAAGTGTTGTGCTTTATATTGTTTACTTGTCAGATCAGCTGCTAGGTCAGAATGGTAACATTAATCTTATTTATTTTTAAATTTATTAAAACCACTTCCATGTTTAACATTATGGAGCTTTTCCCATGCGTCTCAGTACATTAATAAAACCCAGTCATTAATCATCAGGGTTACTTGTGCTGTAATAACATGGATGTGACATTTACAAGCCTGTTAAACTCTGCAGGCTCATAGATCGTTCCTCTCCTCCCTGCTGCTTCTCAGGTTTTTCACAGCAAAGGTTACATTGCTTTAAATTTTAATATTTATGATTTTCCTCTCGTCATTTAAGRTGATTTTCTGCTTTTTCAGAGTTCTGATGGTTGTCTGATGTAGCTACACGAAGGCATTCAGATGTAAAGTCAGAACCAGCATTGACTAAAACAAGCAGCTTATCAGCTCAGTAATCCAGTTTAGCAGGATCTTTTTAGTTGTTGTTTAGTTGGATAGTCGTCCGTTGAGTCTACTTCGTAGTGCTGGCACCATTTACCTGTAGACCCATTTGGCTACATTTCTTAAAGTGTACCAAATTAATTTAAACACAATGATAGTTTCTTCAAATATCAATTGATATAACACATAGGCCTGTCACGATAACAAATTTTGCTGGGCGATTAATTGTCTCAAAATTTATTGCGATAAACGATAATATTGCCTGGTGACCGTTTTACAACTAATAATTATAAAAGCATAATATGTAAGTGTAATAAATCAATAAACTT